GAGGGGAAAAAAAGCAAGCCCCTCATTTTCTCTGTTCCCCACTTAAATAACTCAACACATCTGGTAACACTGTAGGATCATTGTCCTTTCAGTTCCTCTGCAGCTCATATTGCTACAATATTTCTTTGGTATCTAGTTTCCTAAAGGGCAATGTGATTTTTTTTTTTTTGGGGGGGGGGGTGTTTTTACAGGTCTTGGGAAATTAACCCATATGCATTGCAAGAAAAAACATGACTTTTAATCAGCAACATTTCTAAAGTTAGCGCTTGCTCTGTGCATATGAATATGCATATGAACCAGTATTTATAAAAAAAAAAAAGAAAATAAAACCTGCTAGTACTCAAAACTAGCATACAAATGTGTTTTTATTATCAAATAAAGTATGCCTAAATGTTAAAATGTCTTTCTGTTAGGGATTTTATCATTTGACTTCTTGTCTTCAGTTACAAGAATGATAAAAATTGAAATTAAATCTTTTAATTCAATAAGAACTATGTTGAATTTTAGGAAGAAAAAGAGGAATCAGATACAGACTCATATGCATAGGAAATTAAACATTCAAGAAATTAAAACTTTGAGCAACTAAAAGGGTAGCCTTAAGGTGTGCTTATTTGAAATGCCTGCATTTAATTTTACAATAAATCTGAGTATTTTGTTCCAATTAAGACAGTTCATGTGCACGACTTTAAATTGTACAGTAGTTCCAGGGAGACCGTGGACTGCTTGTTTTACATTCTGGATCAAGTTCAGATTTTTAGGCTTCGCTTGAATAAAATAAAAAGTCTGAACCCTGAAGATAGTACAGATTGATAAATCTGATTTAAACATTCCCGTGTTGCAGACTTTCAGTGTATGTGGTACAGCTGAGCCTCAGGCCATGCACTAAATACATCCACAGTGCATTCCCAGGGCACCCGAATACCAAATGATCACATTTGAAAGGTTACCTTTCTATGGATTCTGACTTTTCTGTATTAGCCACGAAGATTAGAATTTTAACAGCTCCCAATGAGAGGTATTGTGAAGTATTTACTTGGCAGGAAAAAAACAAAACAAAACAAAGCCCAGATGAGGTACTGTCTCATATTCATGAACTGGGATTTAATAGTTCTGTGAAAGTCCTTGTGAGAATACACTCCATAGTTCACACTTTAGAAAAAAAAAAAAGTCTCATTTTTCATTTTAAGTTACTATAAACTTTGATAGAAGAGTTATTGTAGTGGAGGTTTTAGCAGAGACGGGATCGTGCTTGTGCAGATTACATCCCAGTAAATCCTGTAGTCTTTCACAACTGGCTTTCTGCAAGGGAAGTTCTGGCCATTTATCTCTCTGGAAATCCAGGAGTAGCTTTGTTAGTGAATTTGATGATAATTAAAGATATAAGGATTTTTCTCCTTTTCTTTTACAGGTTGTGGAACTCATTTCAAGTGCCATTGGTGACTTAGTTCAAGGTATATATTATGAAAACTCAAAAGCATCTGAGGTAAGAATTTCAATAGTTCTACGTACCCAAGAAATGTTGTGAATATTAATCTCTACAATAAATATGGTGACTTTCTCATCTGTTAGAAAGGAGGAGAGAGAGGGAGGAAGAGAATTAGCTGCAGTCCTAGTGAGTTTCAGCAGTAATATCATTATGACATCTGTGAACTCTGATGGAAGTTTCTAGAAATGCTGAGGAGGTACTATTTTAGTTCTGTGAGTGCTTAATAAAATGATATCACGTGCCATTGCCTGGACCTCTAGACATGTCTTACTATGGGCTTCCTAAACACTCCCAGAGGTTTCTAGTCGAGATTCCATTAGAGAGATTTATTTTACAATGTTGTCAACATCGTTAATATTTTCATGCCAAATCTCTCGTTTCCAAGCCCAAAGACGTTTACAAAATGCTTCATCCCAAGCTTATATCAGGTTCGTTCTTCTTCTGAGTGTTCACTTTTTGATAGTATAAACACGAATTTTATCCTGAAGCAGTAGGAGTGCAGCACAGTACTCTTCTCCACCAAAAGTCACCATGCACGTGTTGCAGGAGTCGCCGTGCGCAAAGGCAGCATTTCACACCAAATCATCTTGTATTTCTTCAAGGGCAATTACGAATGTAATGTGTTGTGTGACAAGAACTGTAATGAAAATTTGCCAAATTAGATCCAGGTATTTTTGCCTTTACTAGAATATTTAAGGAAACTTGTAGAGACACTTCTTGAAGTAGGCTTGCTTTGGCAGGATTTTGGAGAAAAAAAGAGTTCTTTCCACCCTGGGTGGAAGCGTGGCAGCTCTGCCGTGTTGGGAACTTGGTCCTTCTGCACCTGCTGTGTCTAACCCATGGATAAACAGACTGCAGCCTTCAGGGCGGCTCCCAAGTACTGTGCTCAGGGATATGTGTTAAAGTAGCTGGCATCTTGGAGATTTTTGCAAAGAATTTTTAAAATCATATTTTTTATATTCAAGCAGGTTTATAAATACAAGTACATCCCAGATATATTGTGTATTAAAAAAAAAGAACTACTACTCTTTTGTGTGTAAAGTAGTAAAGTAAAAAAAAGTAAAGCTCTTTGAGTTCATCTCATCAGTGAGACTACATTTTGTTTTAACTGTGGCTCCTGTATAAATGAGAAATGTTGTGGACTCTTTTGGGTTCCTGCCACTGCAGAAGGTCTTAATTTTCTTTTTCTTTGTCTTTCTGTTTATTTTCTGTTGTGTTACTGAAGCACTCCACATGTGTAGATTGCAAGGGAAGTGTGAGATAAACTAAGCACAGCTGCATGATGTTTACCCTGCCCTGGCCCAGTTACAAATAGCAAAAACTTACTTTGTTTCAGTGACTTCTTCTGTTTAACCAGAGCTGAAAGTACAGTATACCCTTCCTAAGGGGAACCCAATTAACTCAAAATACAATTAGTACGGTGGCATAATAGATATGGAAAATTACATGGCAGTGTCTGAAATTTAGTCTTTATAATGGGTAGTACGTGGCTTCTGATGAGACCTGGAACAAACAAGCATGGGATCTATTTTACTTTTTTTTTTTTTTTTATCTTGTCCTCTGAGAAATTTGGTTCCATGCTTCGTGTGAGACACATCCCTGCTGCTTTCCCTGTCCTATTGTGCTGAGGCAGTGTCCCATTCCTGTTCTGAGTATCTCTTTAGCAAAGATCACCAAATGGACTAAGTCAGTTTTTGGTCTTATTTATATCCTTTGTGCGTCCTCCCTCCATCCCTGATTGCAATTTGACTGAAATAATCACGTGAGCTACATTTCCTAGAGGTAAAACAAATGCTTTAATCTACTTTATAACTAAGTCTCAAATGTCAAACTTTATTTCTTTTTGAGAGTAGGGCATAGGGATGTTAGTAATCGCTTTTGATTGACAGGAATGTCTTAAATTTGGAAAACAGAAGGATACCTTCTCACCTGTTTTTTTTTTTTTGAGGCAGGAAAACTGTACTTCATATGTTAAATTTGCCTTTAATGAAGTTCTTATAAAGCTCCTCTGTACCATAAAATAGACTAATTTAGCACGGAGTTCTTTTGAGCTTTGCTAGATGTCTACCAGGATGGTTTTATCTTTTACTTTAGACAAAAATAATTCTGCAAAATTCACCTTTCTCCTCCGAGACCTTAAGTTCATGTTTACCGAAAAAAAACTTTTTCAATTTGCTTCATTTGGATGACCCAGTGGGAAAATTGAAAGGATCCTTTCACCTGACAAGTCTGACCTTATTTACTCCTGAAGACAAATAATGGATTTAATTATTTAGCAGCTCTTGTTACCACTTTTTTCTCTGTAAAACCACATGCAGTCCAAAGCCATCCCATTTCAGTACATTCTGTTTGGTCATTCTTCATCTTGTCTGCATAGTGAGTCATTAGATCTGTGTGAAACAGGGAAAATAAAGATAATGTTTAACTTTTCATCTTTATTTGAAGTGACAATCCAAACTACGAAGTGTAGGCTTTGGTTGCAAAGACAGCCTGAAGGTTAGGGCTGCCACTCATGTTCAAAGTAGCAAATAGCTGCTGTGGTTTAAGACATTGCATTAGTTGCTTAAGCTAATATTTTGTACTGTAAGCTGGAGCAGAAAGGGGTGATGTGCTAAACCTTTGCAGCTTTCTGTGCTAAATCCCCTCTCAAACCAAAATTCTGAGTGAAGGACACTCTTCCTAGTTCCCATCTGTCTTTCCTAAATCTAGGTCTAATTTGGGAGTAAAAAAATTGTGCCTTCAGTGAGTGCAAAGATGAAAGTTGTCTAATCTGGCCTTCAGTCATGATTGTGGTATCGACTTTTAACAGAAAAACATTGCACTCAGTCTCTGTTTCTTACTTCTAGGAAACTGAAGGCTTCTAAAATGTTTGCTAACTAACAGAATACTGTCACGCTTTTAGAAACCCTGTCTTAGAATCCCAGATCATTTAACAAATATTAACAAAGAATGATTTAAAATCCCTGTCAGTTCACTGAACAAGGATGTGATACAGGGAAGTTCAAGGTCAAACAGCAGAACCAAAAGCAGGAATTGTGTGTTGGCTCTTGTGCGTTACCTGCCAGACCTTTCTTGCAATCTTAAAAGTATTAGGGATTTTCATGGGAAGTTGCCTTGTTTGTTAGTTTTTTTCCCCCTTCACCTCCAGAATAGGTGGCTGATGCTAAACATTCATTACCAAAACTCATTTCTGGTGTCAGAATGGGATTGTTATGTAAAACAAGACCATTTCCATGGGGTAATGGCTTGAAACTGAAGGAGGATAGATTTAGACTAGATATTAGGAAGAATTTCTTCTCACTGAGGGTGGTGAGGCACTGGAGCAGGTTGCCCAGACAAATTCTGGGCGCCCTGTGCCTGAAAACGTTCAAGGGCAGGTTGGATGGGGCTTTGAGCAACTTGATCTAGGGTAAGGTGTCTCTGCCCATGTCAATGCGATTGGCACTAGATGATCTTTAAGGTCCCTTCCAGCCCAAAACGTTCTGTGATTCTATGATTTCCAGCATATTCCACTGATGACTAGAAGCGCTGTTCGGTATTTTTGAAATTTTCGATGCAATTGTGTGAAAATTTTGTATAACTGATATGTAAAAAAAGTTTAAAAAAGAAATACCTTAGTGGCGAGTACTCATTGTAACAAATAGTGAATTAACAGGTAGTTGGTTTAGACCAATATAGGTTTTTTTTAATGAAAATAAGTTTATTTTCCAGCAAAGCACAGGCTACATGCAGTGAGTTGTACCAATTCTTCAGTGATGTTTGGTCACCAGTCCTGCTTTGAGGAGTAATGTTTTGAGATACTGCACATGTCCATCAACTGGACTGCTATAAAAGTCTGTGTCATAAGTAAAGGATCTGCTTACAAATTTTACCACAGGAGGTAAATCAAACGTATTTTGAGTCATGTAAACCACCTTTTAGCAGGGCAGCGGTCAGAGTCAGAGCTTTCACTTTTTTTTGAAACAAATGTTTCTGTTGCAAGACAAAAGGAAAGAATAAAATATGGAACTTGAGTAAAGAGCATCTGTGAAAAGAATGGGTAAATGTGTCAGAGGGGGGGAAAAAAAGCATAGCTGGAAAGAAGGCCAATGCTATTTGCTTACTGCTTTTTTGTTCCTTTAAATATTAAGCTTTTCCAGAGAGATTTAAAAGTAACAGATGTGGGGAGATATTTAAATTTATTGTAATTTTTCAGACTTTTTTAAAATCCTATGTTGGGTGTTTTTTTTTTTCAACGTCACAATCAAAGTTTTAGGTAGTCGGTGGCATGCTTTATTGACCCGTTTGCAGACACCCTTGTTCCTCCAAAAGCAGTGAAGACATATGTTAATAGGCCAATAAAACATGCCCTGTCATGTTCAGCAAGCAGGAATACATCTGTTGAAAGCTTATGTGAACCATGGGCAAGATGTTTTTGCAGGGTCTTGCTACTGGTAGAGAGATTCATAGTTGCACTGGAATTTATTTATGTAAAATAGATGTTCTTGAACTATTTAATTTAGATTTTTAAAAAGCTAGGACTATTTAAAAATACTTGTATGTTTTTCTGTGGATTATTTCCCTGTTGAGAACTGAACTAAAGTTTGATATAAGTGGTTCAGACATTCTGATCATTTTGTGCAACAGCAGATGGATAAGAGCGAGCTGCGGTGATACGGACATAAAGGCTCCCTTACAAACTATAGCTGAAGTTTTACATTGAAAAGCCTCTGACTTCTATTCCCTCCTGGTTTTGCAAGGGTTTTGTGCACTATTAAGACATGGTTTTCATTCATGTTTTCCTGAATATGTTTTCAGCTGAACTGCGTATAAGCATCATCTTTGGTGTGACAAATCAAACTGAGTTATTGTAAGTGCCGCATTTGCACTGAGGATCCCATCACTAAGAGCTGCCCTTCCTGATGGTTATGATTGCATGTTTTGTCCTAAAATTTCATTTTCTATAAGTTCTTTGTTTCCTGTTACCCGAGATGATTGTTTCAAACCTGATGTAAATTATGGAAATAGCTTAACAAAAAAAAAATCTTAACTAGCCAATTTCTTTCTAACAAAACCATAACCAACCTTGCATTAGTAAAATGGGAGCACCCTCAGCTGTTCTTCATTTCCCATAGGAAATGATGATCGACAGAGCTGGATTCAGATATTTTCCCTGTACTCCCATAGCAATGGTATCCAAACTGTATCTGGAGTTGGCTGCTTTCTTCCAGGGATGGTGAGGGGTTAGGCTCTCTTCATCCGTCTTCTGCTACCCAAACAGCATCATGGTTGGTTGTGATCTGGACCCATTTCTCAAGGAAAGAACTTGTGAATGAGGTCACTTCCTACGCATTAATTAATCAAATGTCTGAGAACTGTCAACTACAGCTAGAATTCATTCAAGTTTTAAAAAGCTTTTCTATGAAAGGCTGCTAGGAGTCGTCTTGGTCAGCTAACGTCCACTTTTATATTTATCCTTTGAAATATCCACTGCTGACAAAGCAAAACAAAGCTTACAGAAAAGTGAAAATTTTTCTGAAAATATTAAGTGCTGTCATGATGTCAGATTTCACAGACTTTGCAACATAGAGCTCACTTCATTTTTTCCTGATGTTTTAAAATAGTATTTAGATCTTGCCGTACACACCCTTGTTGTAAGAATGCAGTGTAGTTGGTGGACAGTTTATATATAACATGAGAGTCATACTTGGGGAAAAAACGGCATTTGGATTGTTGGAAAACTGCTGAAGAAAGGTTGTGTCTGTCTCTGCCTTCTTGAGCAGCAGAAGCTTTAGGAGCATGTGGTCATAAGACTTTGTGATTAAAATCAGCTGTATTTTGCCTTGCAACCTCATATACTAAAGCACATCCATATGGACATAACGTCTTTTTTACAGCTGGCTTCTTTCTGTAATTCAGAGATTCACAATACCTATGTTTTCAAGATTTCTATATTGGGTTTGCCTGGCAAGGTCTTGGTAGCAGGGGGACTACAGGGGTGGCTTCTGTGAGAAGCTGCTAGGAGCTTTCCCCATGTCCGATAGAGCCAATGCCAGCCGGCTCCAAGATGGACCCACCGCTGGCCAAGGCCAAACCCATCAGTGATGGTGGTAGCACCTCTGGGATAACACATTTAAAAAGGGGAAAAAGCCCAGAGAGAGGAGTGAGGATATGAGAGAGGAATAACTCTGCAGACACCAAGGTCAGTGAAGAAGAAGGGGGAGAAGGTACTCCAGGCGCAGGAGCAGATTCCCCTGCAGCCCATGGTGAGGCAGGTTGTCCGCCTGCAGCCCATGGAGATCCACCAGCAGCCCCTCGAGGACCTCAGCTCAGAGCAGGCGGGTGCCTGAATAACGATGTGACCTTGTGGGAAGCTGGTGCTGGAGCAGGCTCCTGCCAGGACCTGTGGAGAGAGGAGCCCACACTGGAGGATGTTTCCTGGCAGGACTTGTGACCCTGTGGGAAGGCCCACGCTGGAGCAGTCTGTTCCTGAAGGACTGCACCCCGTGGAAGGGACCCATGTTGGAGCAGTTCATGAAGAACTTGGGAAGGACTCACATTGGAGAAGTTCATGGAGGACTGTCTCCCATGGGAGGGACTCCATGCTGGAGCAGGGGACGAGTGTGAGAAGTCCTTCCCCTGAAGAGGAAGGAGCAGCAGAAACAACGTGTGATGAACTGGAGAGGGACTTTTTACAAGGGTATATAGTGATAAGACAAGGGGCAATGGCTTTAAACTGAAAGAGGGGAGATTTAGGATAGATATAAGGAAGGAATTCTTCACTCTGAGGGTGGTGAGGCACTGGAACAGGTTGCCCAGAGAAGTTGTAGAAGCCCCATCCGTGGAAGTGTTCAAGGCCAGGTTGGATGAGGCTTTGAGCAACCTGGTGTAGTGGAGAGTGTCTCTGCCCATAGCAGGGGGATTGGAACTAGATGATCTTTGAGGTCCCTTCCAACCCAAACCATTCTATGATTCTATGAACTGACCACAACTCCCATTCCCTGTCCCTCTGCACTGCTCAAGCGGAGGAGGTAGAGAAATCAGGAGTGAGGTTGAGCCCAGGGAAAAAGGGAGGGATGGGAGAGAGGTGTTCTTAAGATTTGGTTTTATTTCTTGTTATCCTACTCTGATTTCATTGGCAATAAATTGAATTGATTTCACCAAGTCAAGTCTGTTTTGCCCGTGATGGTAATTGCTCAGTGATCTCTCCCTGTCAACCTCTCAACCCATGAGCTTTTCATTATGTCTTCTCTCCCCTGTCCAGCTGAGGAGGGGGAGTGATAGAGCAGCATAGTGGGCACCCAACATCCAGCCAGGGTCAACCCACCACAATTTTAATACCATATTTTCAAATATGTTCCAAATTTTTTTCATTTTTTGTGAAGTTAGATGTCCGTTTTAGATGCTCGAAGCTCCTACATGATGTTCATGTAGTGCACAGTAATTTGTTGTGCCATCATTTCAATGCTGTAATGAAATTCAAACTCGTTTAAGAATAATATACTTTTGTAACAAATCATAGAATTAATTTCCTTGTAAACATCAGGTGGCAATGACTGGCTAAGCTTCGTCAGTTCCTGCAGTTAATAGTTGATAATGTCCACGTTTCTGCTACTGCTCAAAGGCTCCAGCATGCAAATGTTTTCAACTCACAGGTCTTCTGAAAGATTTTTTTAAAATTCATAAATTGTTTCAGGATACCTTCCTAGAATATTTTTGTCTTGGTTGGATTTAAAACAAATAGTTATAAAAAACACTGCCAATTTTCAATATCTTCCAGCAAGTTTTAGTAAATACTGCTTTTTCGCTGAGCAGATTGGTTGTTAAGGAAAAGATTGTGTTGCGTCTTCCAAGAGCTCCTGATTTTAAATTTAAAAGAAATTGATCTATATCTGAGTGGAAAAAAAAAAAAAAGACTTGATATATAGGAAACTACTTGAATTAAATGCTCATTTTGTCATTTTGCCAGTCATGGGAATTTGCACATGCTCTGGGCTGAGTTAAGATATTAAAACAAAAATACTACAGTGAAATGAAACATGAGGAAAGTTTAGGCTTGACTTTGTAAGTTATCATATGCATAATAGCAAACATGTGGTTTCTCTGTTCTTCACTTTCCTTGTATAAGTTAATAGTATGTCTGAAAGCAAAGGCATTTTGATACAGCGCTGGGTTACTTGGCATTGCAGAATTCTCCTACTTTTTCCATTAGTCTCAAATTATTCTCTCCCTTGTAACGCAGCACTTCTGGGTGATATCCATAAGGGAGGAAAATTAGAGCTGAACGGATGGATTCTATTTCATTTGTTACTGATTTGACGACAGATAATACCTTGCTAGAAAACTATAGGGTCACACAGAATTACTTCTTGATTGTTTCTAAGTAATTTAATTGACATCAGTTTGAGGGAAAAGGCTTGTTATATAAGAGGGGTTTTTATGTTACTGTTTTAAATAATACCTTTTGGCTTAGTATATGCTACAGATTTGGCTGAACTGAGAAATTACAAACTTTTTAATGTTTATATGCTTGAAATTTTTTCTGTAGCTTCTCACTACTGATTTTAGTTTTTTCTAAGCAAAACAACTGTGTTCTTTTCTAGTTGTTTTTTTCCCTCTTTAGAGTCTACCAAAAGGTGTGACAGTAACAGGTGTATGTGAGAATGATTACAAGTCATGTCTAGCTTTGAAGACTAATTAGGAAAATAGTGGCATATTAACACCTTGTGAGCCAAAGGAGCTGCAGTTGAATTTGGGTTTGTGGGGAGAGAATTGGATTTGTGTTAATTAAAACACTTTGTGGAAAGTAATCCAAATTAATGTTTTGGATACAGTGGATTTTGAGAACTGTTGAGCTTCTCTGACCTTACAGTCAAGGTGATAAAGTTCACTAGAGGCATCACTGAGATCTCTGTCAGTCCCTTGGGAATGTCCCCTGACATTTCTAAATCACAGCTTTATTTTTTTAATACTTTCTGTCATTCCTCGTCCTTAATATGGTAGAAGAAGAGATACCAGTTCTCTGTCACAGCCTTTCATTTTTTCAAAACAATTCTATGGGATTTTTAATACCTTTCATAATTTTTTTTTTCTTGACTACAAAGGAGAAATCGTAGGGACTTCTCAAGGCTGTTTGGGATTGTTGGTTCTTGGTAACCGGCAAGGGGCTGAAATGCAGATGTACTCTGGGGCTTGGGGTGGTGGTTTGTTTGGGGTTTGTTTGGGTTTTTTAATCTTCCCAGTTCCTCACGAGGAATGGAGTCGGCTGTTAATGTTCAGTATAATGATACAGTCATTAAGAAAAGGATCTATGTTGACTCCGTTGACAGCTCTATGTATTTTGCATTGTTCTTTTTGAGCAGAAAATGAAAATGTTGTTTGTTGAAGTTGCCAGTATATTTATTCTGATACTTTACTCATCCCCAAAAGAATGCCCTTCTTTATTTGGCACCGTGGCACCCAGAATTTTGTTACCACGTGTCACGTTATCCTGTGCCACACTGTTAACTTCCATGAGCTGACACAGCTGCAGTTTTGGTGTTTTCATGTTAACCTTTGTTTCATTTTCAGGAGAACTGTCTTACAGATGATATCGGCATATCTACGTGGAAGGAGCAGGTTTTCCTGTCGCATAGTGCCTTGCTGGCAAAGAGCTGCCAGGCTGCAATGGAGCTAGCAAAGCACAGTGCTGAGATTCAGGACATGGCATTTCAGTATGGAAAGCACATGTCTATGAGTCATAAGGTACGCCTTTTCCTTTCATTCTAGGATCTTAAAAACAGAAAGACTTGTAAGATATATTGCTCTTGAGCTCTGTTGTATACTGCCACTGTGCTGTAGACCTTTGCCAGCAGGTTGGTGATGTTGAGAGATTTGACTGCTGCCTCCTGTGAAGATATTTGCAGAAACCGCTGGTATGAGCACTGCCTATGAACTGGCAAAATCATAATTCTGGCAATGTAGTTTATTTCATTCAAGGCTCTGTTAACGTACCTCTCGCACATCTTTCTGTAGCAGCTTAAAGCTTTACCTTCTCTGCCTGTAACTTCTTCCTGAAGTTGCAGGAGGAAGCACGTGGTGGGTCTCAGCTGCCACCATGCCGAGATTTGTACCAAGAGGCTCAGCTGCCTGCAGCAGCACAGGAGGCTGAGGCATGAGCTGCGGTGGCTGAAGGACCTGCCTATGTTTCCTTCTGAATAATCTGCTGTGGAGATGACTTCCGAAGTGGGTAGTTGGGGGATAGGGAGGGAGGTCACCAGATACGGACAGGAGCAGCGTACACCTCTGCAGCAGTAGGATTTCCCAGAGAAGGCCTCTGACCTCCATTAGAGGTCACAGCTAGAGTTAGTCCGAAGGAAAATACACACAGTGTGGAACTCAGGTCCTTGGAACTCTTCTTTTGCCCTAAAGATCTGCTCCTACTGTATTGCACTACTTACAAGTATAGACGTAGCTTGAGACAGGCAGACAGACCTCTCATCCGCTTTAGCTGAGTTGGTTTAGACAGTTTGCAGTTCCTCCAAGAGAAGGAAGTGGTTTTATAAAGCACAGCTTTACTGCTGCAGAAATGCCACTATATGCTATTACAAGGTACAGTTCTACTGGTAAATTGCTTCTAGTGCACACTGTAACCTTAATATTTTGTGTAAGCTTTAATATTAATACTTTAACCATTGGCATATAGTTGTATATAAAGGATTGCGTAGTTTTTGCAGAAATCTCCTAGCTATGTAACATCTCCTTTGTCAGAAGGAGGGTCATATTGCATCAGCTTCCTCGAGTACTGAAAAGTAGAATGCGTTACACTTCACAGATTAAAACTAGATGCTCTTCCCACCACCGACTGGCTCATTCTTTCCTTTACATTTTTTCTGCTTCCTGCCACTCAAAAATTGCCTACCTGGCTGTGTCCCATCACTTACCAGCTCTTCAAGCTGTCCTTTACCCATTTCTTTGCAGATTGTCTACACACTTCTCTTTACCACAACTTTCTGCCACTTCAATGCTTCCCCCTCTGCCTCTCCCTCCTCTAGACTTGAAGAAGTGCACCACAGTGCAAGTGTCAAAGCAGAAAGCAGTGAGTAGGTACAGGATCAGGATATGGACCATGATTTGGTGAGTGGGTGGATATGTGTAGACTGTTCCTGGGAACTGAAGAAAGATATTCTTCTCTTTCAGCTACATTCGGACCTTCAGCCATTTGTTAAAGAAAGTTCTAGTGACACCACGGCCTTCAGTTTGAATTCTGCTCCTGCAGTCCTACATCAGGAATTCCTTGGAAGGGAGGCATGGATTAAGCAGATCAGAGAGGTAAATTAAAGCATTGTTTAGAATTTCCTAGTTTTGCCATTTGTACCTCTCTACCCAACTGTACTTCCAGTCTGCAAAGAAACTTAGAAACTAACAACAGGCAAGACGATATAGAGGTTACGTCTGCTCTCCAATATTTAACACCTCTCTCTTCCTTACTTTCAAGAGGGGAAATTCTAGGGACCTGACAGTCAAGCTCTGTCAAACTTGTGTGTCAGTGTAACAAGCGGATTCACTTCCGTCGAGCATGTCTGTTCCTCCGCACTACTTGTGCGGTCCCGCATCTTAGCTGAAAGCTACTTTCACTGGCAGCTTAAAGCAGAGAACTTTGCCTTACAGTGGTTGAAGGGTAGGCCTGCATTTCCTTCTGCCAACTTGGCTCTGGGAGCAGTATTTCTGGATGGGGGGAAAAGATCTGGGGGACTTGGCTTCCTGGCCAGTACAAAATATTTGTGAGATCTAGCTGGTTGATGTCCTTATTCTCAGTTCTCTTAATTCAGCTGTCTTTTCCTGTAACCCTTAGATGAAGAGGGCGGTAAGAATAACATAGCTGTGGTGTAGATCTCTTTTACGTACCATGTAGCACAGCAGGGTTCAGATCTGTGAATAGCTTCCTGGGTGTTGTTGAAACACAAATAGATAACTGTGTGAGACAGCAGGGAGGGAAATGGAGGGAAGCACCAAAAATGGCCCAAAGTAAGCATTCTGTTGAGTTCCTGCATCAGTTGGCCATGTTTTGCCTGTCTAAACAGCTGTGATGAGTACCATTTGGAAATTCCTGCAGTTTTTACACGGATTCTTCAGTAGAAGGGCCACTGCCTTCAATAAGAAGCTAGGTCTGCTGTGCAAGCGTATTTATTTTACTCGAGACGTGTTTGCTGATGGCTCCTTTCCTTGCTGGTTGCAGGACTCGGGCAGAGGGCATGGAGTCTGAGCCTCTGCCTAGTTCTGCGATCGTGATGGCCAGGTCACAGCCTGCCTTCACGTACCATAAGCAAGAGGCATAGTCTCTTCAGCAGTGAAATGTTGGGAAATATATGCAGAATCTACAACCTTACAGTGGTATGGAGTTGAGGGATCTTAAAGTAAAACAAACCTTTTGTAATTTTGAATTTAGGGGCTGGTAGTTTATAATATGTGACAAGGAATCTTGGAATTCTACAATCTCAACACAAGGCTCACATGTGAGTTGAATGTAAATGGATTTGGATGATTGCAGTTGGAGAATAATGGTATTACCACAACACAGTTTATAAAAGCTTTGAAACAATTTCCCATCTGCAGAATCTAGAGAAGACTGCGGGACTCCAGGAGTGCCGTCTGTCTGCTTACTAATTCTCATCCCAAAAATGGGCATTGTAGAAACAATTAAGCAGTTCTCACTGAAGGGAGGAGGAAACCTTCTATGACAGGGTGACCCGCCTGGTTTATGCACTATACGAAAGTACCTACTAACTGCTACTTTAGCTAAATACAAAGCAGAACACCTAGTCCGGGAGCCTTTCTTAGCTTGTGTTGATTTAGAAAGGAAAATTACCTTTGGTTAATTGCAAGCTTTTTGAGATGTCATCCATAGTCACATTCACTATGTGATGCTGAAGATAGGCCAACCTTAAATGGTTCCTAGGAAACACTGTGGTAGACAGACAAAGACATGCTTGAATGTTCTTCTTCAGACAAAGTGTTGTAATACTTGCTGAATGCAGTCCCACGGAGCTTTTGGAAAGCCCCGTATTCTTCAAATTCAACAGGTAATCCAGGATTATAGGATGGAGGATTTCCTAGGGGTCAAAAGACAGAAGAGTTAGTCACTTTCAGCCACTTACAGATACCCCTCACTAGACAAGAGTGAAAATTCTCTGCCTTCAACAGACATACAGCATCTAAGCAGTGAGATACAAAGTACAAATGAAGAAATTACATGGAATCCCTCAAGAACAGGTCTGGAATCCATCTTAACTCGTAGCATTTGTAATTTAAAAAAGGAACAAGTCAGAATTTAGAACCATTTCATCTACGCCAGGGTAATCCATGTACCTTTCACCATATCTTTCCGAGCTTTCTCAGAAAGCAGGGCTGGAAAAAAAGCATTTATCAAATACTTCATCTAGCATTTCTAACATATATGTTTTAAGACATATAAAAGGTGCTGTCTCATCTGAGAAAGAAAAGTCAATCTTGGAAAACATCCTGAAAACCTGCTCCAAAAAGCATTGTCTTAAACCATTCACTTGTGGTTGGCTTATCTGACGCATTTTGTGTAATTTCATGGGAGACTCAGGGATCCTTCTTCCTGACAAGATGAGTTGATTTCACACCACCTCATTTATTAATAAAGAATGTCACGGTATTATTGTCTTTCACTACTGGCACATGATGATCTTTGGTGTTCAGGAGGAAGGTTGAGCTGAGCTGGCCATTACTGTCTCTAATACACAGGCAAGTAGATGCTTTTCTTTGCGGGCTCAGAGGCCCCACAGTCGGAGACTGAGCTCTCCAGCCAAGCAGTGAGACCTAGAAAGTTATCCAAGTTTGAAAAGCGTGTATGCCTTTTGCAAATCAGGCTTAAGACCTTTGAGAAAGCTAAACCACATGCAGAAGTCTGATGTAAAAGGAAAAAAAATAAAATCTGTGTGTCTGAAATCGAGGTCAGCAAAAGTCAGAGCCAAACTACTGTGAGGATAAAAAGAAAGAAAAAAAGCAAAAGTGTGGTTGTAGTAAAGAAGGCTTAGGAAACAGGTTAGATAAGAATGCTGCTTGGAGAAGCACAACTGCCACTGACTTAGATGCTTGAGAGGAGCAGACCATGAGAAAATATTCTTGCCGTTTGTGATGTGTATTATATGCAGGCGGAGGCATGCTGAGCACACCTCTTCTGGTATTGCTGAGACTAAAAAGCATCTTCCTCGAGCATGTTGGCAAATTCTCCGCCGCAGTGTGAATCTGCATATAGGCAACCATTTGCTAAAGAACATATTTCTGGTATGTTCTGATATACAATATAACTACTAGATTTGTCTTGAAGAAGCCGTAAGATCCAACCGGTATGAATAAAAGTTGGCAAATCAAAGAGATGGGAATACACAAATAAGGAAGCAGTTATTGGCAGTGGTTTTGCTACCCCCGAATGCTATCAGGCTGTTTTCTTAATGTGAATTTCAGAAAAACTGACTCTTAAGAAGCTTAAGGAGAGTAGTAAAGAGGTTCTGTGGATCAGTCTCCTTTCTCCTTCAGTGAAATCAGTTTTCTTGTCTATTGTTTTCTTTCCTGTTCTGCTCACTTATTCTCTCATTGGTTCTTTTCTCTATTTTATTTTTCCTCTCTTACAAAAATTAATTTATTTTCCAAATCTGTGCCATCTCGGCAACATCTCTTCAGAGATGTGCTTGCCACATAGTGTTTGTTCCTCTTCAGTGCAGACCTCACCTCTTCTCCTTATGCCAGTTAGCCTGCTCCTCTTGGCTGCTCTCTGAAGTCCCCACAGAGGACCCAGAGAGGTAGCGGGTCCTAATCTACATCCTTTCAGAGGACACATTCCCAAAGAACTGAGGTTTGTGATCTTCCCTTGTGGAGGCTACAGGGAAAGAAACATTAGTGATTTTTTTTCCTCAATGTGCCTGAAAAGAGAAGAGCTGGATTTGGACAAGGTGGTAGTGATACAGCTAGATTTGACCTAAGGAAGGGGCTTCAGGTTGGTTAAGAAGGAATGCTCTGGGCCTGGCAGAGCACTGCCACTGGGTGAGAAAGGCATAGATATCTTCTCTTCTACGTTACCCTGTGACAAAATTGAGGAATTTGGTCTATGTACTTTCTGCATTTGGGCGAGAAGAAATTTAAAATGTATTCATACTTCTTTCTGAATGTGCTAGAAGTCATAGGTTGTATGTATCTGCTGCTTAATTAAGGGGTGATGCTGTATACTTAAATATAACTCTAAACTAAAAGCACAATTAGCATATCTAACCTAGGTCTAATAGCGCTGACGTGGTCCTTGCATTCCTTTTTGAGAGCTCGACACTATTAACTCTGTGCAAATCACTACAGATGCAGGGGGAGTTCTCTTTTAAGAACTTAAATCCTGTTATTGCTGACATGAAGTATAGTTTATTTCAGAATCTCGTGGGAGAGATTAATTACTGCAAACAGCAAGATTTCTTAAGATGAAAACATTTTGAATTCCACAAATGTTTAACTACAAGTCATAATAAAAAACCTAAAAATTACATTGAGTATCTGCAGCTCTTACCTGAAACAGAACCATCTTGTATAAAAGCTGGTAACACATTTGATTGTATTTTGGGTTTTTCCATATCAGATTGCCAAAGAAAGTTAGTTATGTTTAAAGTAGTAGCTCTTTTAATTGCATTCTTCATTCCTGCAAGTCTAGTTTGTAGTATGTAATGTCTTACATAAAATCTCTCTTTCTTTTTAAGGCACAAGGAAAAGGAAATATAACGGACTATAAGAAGGTTGGTAAATTACATTTAATTCTGATTATTATTTTAAATGTTTCTTTTAATATTTTCAAGGATATTCTTGACAGTTGAGAGAAACTTCCTTATTAAAGTCAAGTTATAATTTGTGCATGTGTACATGGAGGGAGAGGGAATGGCTTGTGCAATTTCTTCATGTTAAAAAGCCAATAATAGTCAGCTGTACTGTAAGTATTGAATGTAGCTATTTAATAATCGTTTTGCCATTCTTTATCTCATTTAATTCCCCAAATTTGGTTTTGAAACCAGACTTCTGGTGGTTTTTGCTATCTTCTTTTTCTGCAGTCATTTGCAGGTTACATCCTATCCGTGATGTCTCTATATTGATAGAGTAGCTGTTACATTTTTAATCTCACCTTAATGCCATGCCGTCTATTTAAAAATACGCACACACACGTTTTATAATAATTTGTGTTTCTGCCAGTCCCCATTACAACTTTTAGCTAAGTCACCACTGCATTTGCTACTGGGACTGCTCTATAGTAAAAGCAGACCTGAACAAACTAGCTTATCTACTGAAAGTAGCTGGGACACCATGAAGCTCTTAAAGAGCTGCAGGAAATGGCTGAGAAGGTTCCCCTGGTTAAATACTGAAGCACAGCTTTCTTGTGGTGGAGACAGAAGACGAGGTTGTGTCCCCAATCCGTTCCGAGCACGAACCTGGCTTGTTTCGAGTCTTAGGTATATAGAGGGACCAGTTAGTGATCTCCAGCATCAATGGGAAATAATATATGAATTATTGAGCCACACACATGATTGAGAATTGCTCCTTGAGCTGGGGTCTGAAGAGTGTTACAGCTGTGGCTGATTGCTGCTTGTACATAAAGCTAACACGCAGGTATAGGTCAAACTTTTTTATTATAATTATGCTGTATTAAGAAAATTTGTAATTTAGATTATTAAGAAAAAAAACCTCTCTGTCCTTCCTTCCCATTAGAACATAAAAAATATCTCAACCTTAGCTTGCTATTTAAAATCATTTTGCTTTTGGTTTTTCTACAATAGAGAAACTGATGCAATTGTGACTTTCTAAATCACCACCGAGAGCACTAATTTTCATTCTTCAAATATGTCTGAGTGTGTGAGACACTTCTGTGAATGTTTAAACTAGGATACTTGCTTTTGTAAATCCAGAATGAATTTTCTCCTTTTAATTTTTACAATTGTGATCTGCCCAATGTAATTTCCATATTTTTTTAAAAAAAAGGAAAAAAAGAGCATGTAAAGTCGTTTTACTGGATTAAATATTTGTCAGTGTATTCTGTGTTTTGACTTAAATGATTTCATAATTTGGATTCCAATTAAATTGAAAAACTTATAGTGTGCCTAGGCAACTTGGGTACTTGAATAAAAGGAAAGGGAAAAGCCCTTCTTCAAGTGTTGTATTTTGAGCAATTAACTTCAGCCAGGAAGCACATAATTTTACTAGCTCCAAGTAATTGTCTGTTACATAAGCACAGATATCATGAGTTAGTAATGACAATGAAAAGTTCTCCATGGTTTTTGTGAGCTCAAACTGTAATCAGCTTTGGTTCTTTGTAGAAGTTGGCCTCAAAACTGTGAAGTCACATCCCTGTCTCCTATGTTTCTTCGTTTAAAATAAAAGTGGTCATTAGTGACATTCATGATAAATGAACCCAGTAACCTGTAGCTCACCCCAGCGTAGCAGCTCGGCCAGGACACGCTCACAGCCAATTAGGAGGCATGTTGTGCGGTACAAATTAGTATTTCGGTTTTCGCCTTTGCTGTTGTCTTTATTTCTACACCACTAGAGTCAGTGTTTTTGCACATTTGCTCAGTCTTTTCTTCCCAGCGTCAAGGTCCCTTCTCATCTTTCTATTAGGTTCCTAGAATTACTTTAATGTTCCTAATCAAATTTGAGGACTTGCTTCTCGTTGAGTCTCTGAAACATCCCCTTTTTAATTTTGTAAAAGTGAAGGTCGTCAAAACTACCTGTAGAACTTCTGAAAATTTGTCATTTTTGTTCTCTTAATTTTTATTACAAACTTCAGTGTGCCACTTAGTTGAAATAAAAATTTTGTTCCTTTAGTATATATACAAAAATTGTTAGCTGATTTGCCTGCTTAAGAATATTTTACCTTACTCGCTGTGGCTTTCAATTAAAATAATGAATGAAGGTAAAACTGAGAAATTGAGATCCACCCATTTAACATGCCTCCTTAAAAGGCAAAGGTCTTATTTTATTTCAATTTAGAGACTGCTCAAGAATTCTGAATTGTTCTTTTGATGCACGTTGTATTAAAATGGTAACGCTGATTTTTTCACTGACAAAAAAAATATCTAGAGGGTGCTAGAAAATTTAGTGAGGGCTCTGACATAAATATAGAAGTGAAATACTTTCTATTAATTTAATTAGGTCTAAGACTATCATATCAATAAGGTCACTGTTCAGCAAAATTATTAGTATTTTCTTCTCCCAGCTTTTCTCAATCTTTTTATCAGAAGGACTTTGAAATCACAAAAGGCTTATTTTAAGGTCTGTGTTTCTGAATGTATTTTCTCACATTAGTATCTGAATGTTTCACTCTTTCTTTTTTTTTTTTTTCCCTTCTACACTATCATACCACATCCAGACAAATTATTGATCCATCATTGCGGTGTTTGAAAGTCTTTTCCAGGGATGAAAAAGTAGTTTCAGCTCTGTTTTAGTTGCGTTTCAGGTAACAAAAGAGAAAGCACCAATATATGGCAGTGATGAAACTCACATATGTCGCTGAAAGAGACAGCAAGTTTCCCGTCACTCTCATTTGTATGTTGGATTTCGGCAAAAATCTCAGACTTTTTAAAATCAAAAGGCTTTTATCCGTTTTACATCTACTTTGCATGCAAGATAAGCTGTGTAATTCTGAAACAACAAATCAAGATTCTCAATTGAATTGCTTACTCTTTTATAATATAGATTAAAAACCCTTCTCTGAAGTCAAGGCCTTAATGATGCTTGGCATTATACAGACTTCTTAAGTGAGTGTAACAAAGGCACAACTAGTAGTAGAAATGAGGAAGGTAGGAATAACTCTTGGTTTCTGGCCGAGGCTCTAGAAAAATTACAAGATAAGGCTAAAGATATGTGAAATCCTGTATTTTGCGGCCAGTGAGTATGCTACTGAAAGGATTTTCTTGTTTTTCTAAATGCAGTATTCAAAGAAGGTAAATTAAGTCGAGTGAAAGAGGACGTAGGGAAATGTTGTTGTTGTTACTGTAGCCCTGTTCATTTGCTCTGCTGCCTGTTGTAGAGGTCTTTCATCCAAACTGGCATGGGAAGTATCATCATAGTACATCACCATAGTATGCTGTGACATACTTGGGTGATTTGTATATGAAACACTGTGCATGACATTAACACAGGGAACAGATTTTGTACAGTACTGGAAGCAGCATGAGTCAAGAAGTGGTAGATCCAGCCATTCATACCCTGCACGGCACTAACGTCTCGACTACCCATATGGTAGGAAAGAGCTAGAGAAGAAAAATGGGAAGGGTCACATTGATAAAGAAGGAGGTTTCTCGGTGGTAGCCTACTGTCATGCAGCTAATAAATAACAATAACACAACACAGTGCCATCCAGTTGCGTTAGCAAGAGTCGGATGGCTCCCCGTCCCCAGCTCACCGTTGACTACCACGGTTAGTGCGTTCATCATGCTGCAGTGCTGTCTGCACGGCAAGTTTGCAGTCCCAAGTGAGAGTGGTCCCACTGTTCTGTTTAATTAAATGCTGGAGGATCATTGTGAGATGTGTTATGAGACTATAGGCCATAGACTGTTCACTCTCTTGCTCCTGAAATGCAGCAAAGAGTTAAAAGCAGAGGATTGTTATTTGTAGATGCTTATGACCTGTGGTGGTTTTCCATTAAGATTTGTCTTGTTTTGAAGCAGCCACTGCCATTAGTTCCTTTTGTTACGTATGTTAAAAAAACAGAATAGTCAGTGATTTAATGAATATGGGGTTTTTTAGATGTGTTAGAAATATTACAAATGCAGCCAAAACCATTTAGAAAAAGCATTTTTCACCTTTGTTGGAATTGACCATATCCGAATAATCGAGGTGTATGTCCAGTACCAAAAATCAGTTAGATCTTTGTTTTTAACCAGTGGGTGTTTTCCATGGCTTTTTTAGGGAGAAAAATCCAGCAAAACTTTTGTTTCATTAAAGCAAACAACTATCACATCTCTTAACATAAATACCAAGTCAATTGCTTGTGTATGCTGACAATTAACAATCACTGTTTGCATGAATGCCATTTAAGAAAGTCGTGCTTTTTGGTAAAAAGGCATCACTTAACTACCATTGTTTAGATTAAAAAGCTAGTGGTCCTTGTTGACTTCATCGTGAAAGACATGGAAAGGCAGAAGGAGGAGGAGTTGGTGTCTCTTCCAAAGTATTAAAGGGTCACTTTGTACAGTCAATCGGTGTCTCTGGATGACTTGTAATTTTTTGGCAAAGTGTACTACAAGAGCTGAGTAACGGCTGGAGCAGCAGCGTTCCCTGTAAGCAGGCCATCTTTCCTCTGCTGCTGAGGGTGACTGTGTCCAGATTTGGTCTCTTCCTAGACAGCGTGTTTTTGAGTTTGAAGTAGAAAGAGAATTTTTCTGTTTGTCAGATGAGTAGTACTACTAATGGAAGTTTCTGCAGGGTGTTTTTGCCCTTTAAAGATCCTTTTATAAAGGAAAAGTTTCTAAGAAAAGATTGGATAAATATATTTACTGCTCCAATTTCAAGTGGCATATCATTATTAGGAAAAATTTTTTTACCATGAGAGTTGTAGAACACTGGAACAGGTTGCCCAGAGAGGTGGTGGATGCCCCATCCCCGGAGACGTTCAAGGCCAGGTTGGATGAGGCCCTGAGCAACCTGATCTAGTTGGAGATATCCCTGTTCCTTGCAGGGGGGTTGGACTAGATGACCTTTGAAGGTCCCTTCCAGCCCTAACCATTCTATGATTCTATGATCATTCTAC